CTTAGTATAAATTTGGAAAGTCTCCTTTTCTAGAGGAAGCGCTGCTAAAATTTTTACTAAATCGGGGAGTTAGACAAAATTGGACTTTGATAACTCAAAGTTATTCTCAAATTCTGGACCTCGCTTTGTATAAATTTTGGGAAAACACTTTTTTAGAGGGAGTGCTGCCGAAATTTCTGTAAAACTGAGGAGTTAGTTAAAAGTCTTGTCTAAGTTAAACTCAAGTTGTCTTGTAAGTTCAAATCTGACTTAGTATAATTCTGGGAAGTCTCCCTTTCTAAAGGGAGTGCTGCTCAAATTTTTACTAATTCAGAGAGTTAGACAAAATTTGACTTTCCAGAGTTAGAGATTATTTCTGCGTTCATATTTGAGCTTATATAATTTTGGAAAGACACTTTTCCTACGGGAAGCGCTGCCGAAATTTTCTTAGTTAAAAGGAGATAGACTATATTTTGACAGGTGACGATTCAGGCGATCCGCCCTGAATAGGGGAGATTCTGCAGTTGGTCTACCTTTGGCTTAAGCACTGGCTTAGAGGTAGACTTAGGCTTAGCTTACAGGGAAATTTTGAGTGAGGATGTATTATGGAGTTGTATTCTCCATAGACTTATGATCTTAGCTTGGGGATTGGTTTGCGGTGTGTTACAGGTCTTTTTGATCATTTGATTCAAGTTCAGGACTAGATCTAGCTTGATCCCTTAAGGATTTTTTTCTGTTATCACTGATAACAGGTCGGTTGTCGATTCGTCGGTCTACGACTCAATTTTAACTCTCTCTCCACACTCAACCTAAAAGGCTTTAGCCCTGGTGATTTCGTTGTTTTTATTAAGGTCTCACCCGGACTTTTATTGAATGGTCATTTAACAAAGGTGCTGAGTATTTAATTAAGGTTGGTTGGACATGAGGTTTGAGGCTTGCATGACTAAAGCGAGGGGTATGAGTGTCGAAGGTGGTTGGGGTTGACTCCGTGTAGTGTGTGGGCTATTGATTTGGTTCGTTGATGTGATTGCAGGTATCTGCTGTGAATCAGATTCTGAATTTGGTTGTCTACGATCACATATGTACGTATTATTGTGAGAGACCCCAGTGAGACCGTGAGAAGTGATCGTCACATACTTAACCCTTATATATGTATGCATGGGTATACTTGGGATAAATGTTTGCATGGGTTGAAGAGCCCCCATACTAAAGTCCTACTCAGAAGCTGAGCCTGAGGAACTTAGGGGAGACCTCTGCTTCTATTTTGTTCTTTCTTTTTGATGATTTTTCTTAGTCGGACGTTTGGTCCTGGACCGGGATTCGAGGTCCTTGTCCAGGACACCTCAAGCCCTAGGCTCTACAAGGGAGGGGTTTTTCCCTCGCGCAGAGCCTATTTGATTTGCCTACCGAGACACTCAGGCCGAGAGTCGGAGGTGCCGCGGCGGCTGCACGGCTATTCCTTCAGCCGTGCAATGTCGTTAAGGGTTAGGCCCTCACGACACTTCGAGTCTGACACTTGAGTGTCATAAGCGGTACTCGGATCCACAAGGGACCGCTTGATTATGGGCACTACATAGTACGCCATCATTGCGACTGCTTGCGTACGCCTGCATTGCAAGTTGATACGAGTAGGCCCTGCGTCCGTGCGGTTTTATACTAAGTCTCACGAGCGACGCTTACCCGATTTTCACGTCGGAAAGTTATGGGTTGGATACCGAGGGGCTAGGAGCGTTGTCGCGTTATTTGTGTTGTGTCGTTTCATACGTGTGTGTATGCGCGTGTCTTATTTTTGGTGTTTGTTAGAGTGGTGTGCGCGTGGTGTGTGGGATGCGTCTTAGTCGATCGACGACGGGTCGCGCTTGGGACCTCAGCCCCCCAAGATGCCAATACGCGTGCGGGTCCAACAGAGGCGTATTACCGCGCGTACCCCCTATGCTACAATGAACGAGAAACGCCTTCGGCTGGTCCACCTCTGTGATTGCAACTGATTAGCTTTCGTATTGTGGACTGGTAGCTCGGCGGGGATACGCCCACCGAAGGGAGGTGACAACTCCCGTAAGTTGTAGGTAAGTCGTGCCTCGCGTAGGCCCTATCCTGTCGTAGGGGCTCGTGAGAGGTATGGCTGACGCACTCGGCCGGAGCGGCTTGAGGAAGCTCCACATGTATTATCTGCGACGAAGGATTTAAATCAACTCCTGCGTGACGCGACCGGGAGGGTCCCGCGCTGCCCTGGTGCGATGCCGGACTGATGCGCTCAACACTGTTCCACCACTCTCTCTACACCTTGGATTTAGAGTATTGGTGGTGCTACTTTTTTGGGGGGCCCAACCCAAGTTGCCACCAAGTTATTGAATATAATGCTTGGGTGTTATAAACAAATATAACATCTGTCAGACATTATATTTATATAAAATGCCCGGGCGTTTATTCTCGGGTGAAGACGGTAGGTGTGAATATGTGACTACAGTTCTTTCCTGAGGGGGGTTCAAACTTCCCTATTTGTCCCCCAATCAGTATTGTTGTTATGATATGAGCCTCCAAGATATGAGTTGAACTATAGCGTGGATATCACGGGCAGTGTCTAATGGCCCGTCTCGAACCAAGGTCTAACCTCATGACATCCCCTTCAGAAGCCAGGTTGCCTATCTAGTGATGTTGTTATTGTGGTTATTATGGACATTACTTGATTCGACGCCAGTCTGTTGGGATCCTAGCCTTTGTCATCAGTGGGGTCTACGGTCCAATCATCCATTACCTCACGTCAGTCATAAGCTAAGGGTCCCCTCCCTTCTCATCCCCGCCTTCCCGGACCCGTGCAGCCCCAATGGCTCGGCAAGGGCCACGACCCACGCTTGATGTTAGCACAATCATCGCCTGTTTTACGACCCCGTTCATGCTCCTGTAGGCCCTTGAGTAAGGAATATTCCCAGAATGGTTCCCCTCCCCTCTCAAGGCCGCCTTCTCGGGCCTATGCAGGCCCAAGGGCTCGGCAACGACATTGAATGGTATCGTAATTTTTCTGTCATCTACCTTTTGCGTCAGTATCGTCATTTTTCTGTCATCTATCATCTTCGTCTTGATTGGTGATTCACGTTGTTTATTTTTTGCCATTCCATCTTGGACTATCTATTGTTCTATTACTCGGAGGAACCGACGTAGAGATTATACTACAGTTGTGTGACTTCGTTCATATGAGAGTATTGAATGGTATCGTAATTTTTTCGTCATCTACCTTCTGCGTCAATATCGTCATTTTTATGTCATGTATCATCTTCGTCTTGATTGGTGATTCGCGTTGTCGGTTTTTTTTCATTCCATCTTGGACTATCTGTTGTTCTGGCTATTTTTGGATCAACTTTGCTACTTAGAGGAACCGACGTAAAGATTATACTACAGTTATGTGACTTCGTTCATACGAGAGTATGGAATGGTATCGTAATTTTTCTGTCATCTACCTTCTGCGTCACTATCGTCATTTTTCTGTCATCTATGATCTTCGTCTTGATTGATGATTCGCGTT